ATCTGCAAAGTGACCAATCATGACATGATATTCAATTTGTGTGATCGACCAATCATGAGAAAGTTATCCTATATGTATTACTCACCATTAACAATGATCAGGCTACAGGTAGTACCCTAGGTACTTTTCAAAACTAGGATTCATGAAAATTGAATAATACTCAGATACTAAAAAAAAATAAAAGGCTTGTGTGAGATAGATCTAGTATACCAGGTGTGCAAAAAATCTCTAAATTAATAATCATTGCATCACAATAACATTTTGCATAAATAATTTTAGCAACTTTTTGCATACCTAATATATTTTGCATATGACCTCAATTTCAATTAAGATATACAAGACCACATACTATTATCATCTAGTGCAAGAGATGTCACTTTTGGTCTATTTATTAAGTCAATGCACTATAATTTGCTGTAATCAAAAATAGGCCATTATTTTAGCATTAAAAATCTGGTTTTTTTTGGGTTTAAAAAGTTTATTCAGGAGTTTTTTTCTATAATAAATCAACTTTTATTAAACAAGCCTGGCTAGATAAAAATAAAAAAATTAATTTTGCCTGGTTTAATGCAATACAGTATATTAAGTTCACGATTACTAAAATATAAAGATTGTAACAAATTAATCTTAAAATTATTTTTAAATACGATAAAAGGTCTAAAATTTTAAGGCTTATTTATTTATTTGAACTGATACTTCTAAGGCTATATTTTTTGTTTCTGTTTAACTTTATTAGCAGATTCCCCAATTTTTTTTTTTTTGTTTTTGATCTGATTTGCTAGGTGACTACCTTTGATCCGTATTTTGTAGTCAACTAATCCCAAATATTGACATGATTTCTCTCCTCATTTTTATAGTATTCACAGTATTCACATTTATAATCACTTTCATTACTCTTCCCATCTTCTGTGCTTTTTGGACTTGATTCATTAATTTCACCCTTTTCTTTAATACCAATCTTTTTTTTTCACCTGAGACCTTCTCGAAATCAAAAATTGTGCTATCTTCTGAACCGTCCATTTTGATAAAAATTTTGCAATATTTAAAAAATCGTTATATTATAGCAGGATCAATGTCATCCCATGCTTCTTTAACCCATTTTGTCACTAGCGAGTATGATGGTCATTTAATTTTACCTATTGGTGTATACTCCTTTATAGCTTTATTTATCTATTGGTTGTAGGCATGGCGAACCTATTAATAAAAAATAAAGTTTTTATTAATCTTACACAATTGATTTATGCATTTTCAGAAATGGGTTAACATAAAATTCAACAAATATAATAATATATTAATTTAAGACTAATATTATAGTTAAGGTCAGAGTAAGACAATAAATCTAATAAAAAAAAAAGAAAGAATTTTATAATGAAATACAAAGTATAATAAGCATAAATTTATATTGTATCTGATCTTGAATCTGATTAGTCGATCAGGTAGAAATGCATCATGACTGGTGATCAAAAAGTAAGATTTTTTATAATATACAGTTAAACCTCCCTAAATGCAATACAATGGGACTATATATAAAAATTTAGTCAAACGTGCACTTAGAAAGGTTTTGTATTTTGGAAGATAAAAATCTATAGATGTAATATTAGTTGGACCCAAGAGAAGATGTGCATTTAGGGGATATTTTATAGAACATGCACTTAGGGGGTAGCATTTAGAAGGTCTACTGTATTTAATTCTACTTATCACCAGCCATAACACCCAAATGACAAATTATATAATTTATAAAAATTTAAGTTCATAATTCTCACAACTAACCTTTGCCTTAAATGTTTTATTTAAGGATACATCCAATAGTTGCAAACGTGAAGTCAGCCCACTAGGAATAACAGCAATATCTGTATTTCTTTCCTTAAAGTGATGCTTTACAGAATCTGTTCTATGAGCAGTAAACACATCAAGAACAAGGAGTGAATGTGGATTGAGCCCAAATTAACGCGTCGACACCACATATTCTCCACCCACCTAATCATCCCCTTATCTATCCAACTACTTGGATTGGTATGAACATAAACACCTTTTGGAAACTGTTCTCGAGGCACATTTACTAATTTAAAAATAATAAGTGGTAGAAGTTTAGTACCGTTCGCAAGACAAGAAAGGGTACTGTAAAACAGGTATATTCATGACCTGTTGTAAGAATCGAAACAGTTCTTATTTCACATTCTTCAATAGTTGTTTGATTTGGTATATTAAAAGCTATAGGGTTTCATCCATGTTTCCCATTAAGTTTAAAAGATAATTATGTTCGGTTCTTTGATAAAAAATGAATGTTAAAAAACTTTGCTGTTCTTCAACATACTCTTCAGGCAACTATTGAGCAACTGTATTGTTTCTGCGATTTACTAACGAATGATGGGTCATAAATCTATTAACCCACTTGTGAGAAAATTTATATTTATCAATATCAGGATATAAGATATGATAATCTAGTTTATTAGCAATACTGTGGGCTTTTGCACTGATAATGTATCGGATTACTGTTTTAAGCTCCCTTCTTAATTAACAAAACCACTCCAAAAGTTCATTCTCAAGTTGTGGATACTTTGGTTGTGCCCCAATATTAAGCCAGTGAATATAAGGTGCTACACGCATTAAATCATGTTTTTTGTTCTTCTAGTCATGAACCTGTTTTGGTGCAATTTTATATCTATTTGCTGTTGACCGAATACTATGTCCATTTTTCTGGTATAATACAACTATTAGCTTCTTACGGGTATTTCATTGTCGGCATTTTTTTTGTATATTTCTTGCTCGTCATATACAAAAGTTTTCTCTTGGCATTTTTTTTATTTTTTTTTTCTTTTGTCACGTAAATCTAAGATTATCTTAAAAAAGTTTTACATTTTTTATATAGCTGTGAGATACATTTAGTGATACAAAATTCACTCTAACTGTAACATGAATTTTAGTAGAGGTAAGATATTGGTTGATTTGATTATCATTTATCAATTGGTCTAATATCTTTAAGTTTCTAAATGTTTCGCATTTTTTTCTCTTTTAAAATATTGCATTAATTAAATTTAGAGTTTTTTCTTATTTGATAGAACCAAACTGGTTATAAGAATAAAGGTAATTAAAGCAGTATTCTGATAAGGTGTACTATGTGATTTTTAATAGAGAGACTAAACTCTTGCTGTTTAAATGCTTTTGATCAGTTAAATTCATAAGTGTCAGTGAATCTGATCTTAAAGGATATCAGTTAATGCATCAGATCTACTATCTATAGTCACTTGTGATAGTGGCCATGAAGAATAAGTTGGTAATAAGGTAGGAGAAGTCTCATAATGATAATTATGATTGTTTTTTAGCATAAGAATT